TTTGTTCTGTTAGCTTTTTAAAACCTGCTCCTCAGTGTTTCTTTGACTGACTACATAGAAGTTCAGAGTGTCTTCCAAAATACGCAGTATGCTGCTTTTGTTCTTTACAGATGGAACAATCAGTTCAAGTTCCATTCTTTTGGCCCAGTCCCTACAGTATTGTATCCATTCTCAGAACTGCTCTGCCACAGACCTGTTCTACCAGGGCAGTTCACAACAAATCAGGGAGTGGCTTGCTGTCTTTGACTGACTACATAGAAGTTCAGAGTGTCTTCCAAAATACGCAGTATGCTGCTTTTGTTCTTTACAGATGGAACAATCAGTTCAAGTTCCATTCTTTTGGCCCAGTCCCTACAGTATTGTATCCATTCTCAGAACTGCTCTGCCACAGACCTGTTCTACCAGGGCAGTTCACAACAAATCAGGGAGTGGCTTGCTGTCACACCACAGCAAGGAGAGGAGAGTCTGTTAGAACTAACTAAACAAATCTGTTCCTTCTTGCAGGTAAACAGTACTTTCCGATTCTTTCTGAACGTTTATAGTCCTGTAATGAAAATGTGAATTTATTAAAATAATATATTAATCTTTTTCCCCTGTAGAGATTGCCATTCTTCTTGCCAAAATAGTTCATATCACTTATTACTGTCCTTAAATTCATAATACTGTTAATCATGCTGTAGTGTTTCTCTGGGGGTTTTGGCTTGTTGCTTTGCATCTCCAAGGCATTCATTATTAAATGTCATTTTACAGACTGCACCAGAACAGTTCCCTGCTGAAGAGTTCCCTATTTCAGAGTCCAAAGTCAATATGGATGTTAATTTTCCTGGGGCTGCTTTTGTAATTGTGTCCTGTAAGGAAAGTCAGTCTGGATTCCGCAAAGAGTAAGTTACAAAGGAAGTAGAAAAGCAACCAGGTATAAAGAGCTGCTGCATAGGCTGCAGGATCTGGATTGTGATCTGCCTCTTTGGGAATTCTGAGTAGTGTTTTGTTGTTTTTTTCCATACAAACCATTCCAAGGATTTATCTTGGAGATGTGTGGGATGATGGTGCAGAAGGTTCTGACATACACCATTCTGATATCCTTTTAAATTTGAGTTTTTATTCATTTTAATTCCTTATATTGATCAGTTATGTTCTGGTTATTTTCTAGCTCCTCCTTATATAAGGCTCCATGGGCTCGAGTGTTTGTCTATGGTCTTGGTCATAAAATTAAAAGGAATGGTCAGTTAAACCTGACAGAGGCAGTATGTTACCCTCGGGATGCCTCTCCAACCAACACAGGCTTGACTCCACCCCCAACAACTAATCAGTACCCTGCCGTGATTATCTCCACTGACAAGGTCCACATCAAATTAGGTAAATGTTTTTAGTATTTACAGAATGGAAGCTGGCTAAATCACTTTATTGATCAGAGTTTCTTGAGACAGCACCACATCTTACATTCTGTTTGTGTGTGAACTACGCTGTGCCAAGGCATCACAAAATACCAGGCATTAAGGATATACTATCGCTAAATGAACAGGCCAGGTTTGATACTGTGGGGGAGGTTCTAAACTTATCCCCCTCAGACTGTGATCTCCTCAGTTCTCAGAAATCAATCAGTCTCTAGATTTTCCAGGGATGTCTCCCACCTACATGCTGCAGGAACTGGGGCAGGGAACAGAGCAGATACTTGTTCTGCTAAGTTCAATCATGAACCCTTACCCTAGTGCAGTGCTATGCTGTTTGCAATACCATATTTGAACCTAGTTTTATCTACGTGGATACTTACGTAGCTGGCCTGCATCACTGTAGGATCGGTGTCCCTTCCAAATATTTCAGTAGAAATAACATTCATTCTTCCCTCCAGCCTGTAGCAGAAATAGCATAATTTGTTTATAATAATGGGAGGGAGAGAGAGGGCAAAAGAATAAGATTTCTTTCAATCAATTCTTCAACATCTCTCTCCACTTGCGGTCACTATAGCTGTAGTGTTATGTCAATATTCAGGAAACCATTGTCTGTAGTACAATGAATATGAAAGATCTACACATTTTAATAAATACAAACGTGAAGCCAGAACTGGCTACATCATTAACTTAATATTTTCCTTTTCTGTCTTTTAATTTCTGTTTTAATGAGAGGATTAGGTGATTTAATAAAGTTCCTCACTTAACAATGCTTACGCTTAGAAAAAATTAAAACCATGTTTCAACTTGGCCTAATAACTCTTTACTTTTACTTGGCACAGTTGTTGCCATGTAATTTACAGAACTGTAATGGGAGTTCTCCTTCTGTTGTCTTGTTTAAGGAGTATCCCCCCCTCCTGGAGCTGTCTTACTTTTGCACTCTCTTCCACTTGAATTCCCTTTGGCTCTGGCGTTTACAGAACAGCTGTTAACTTGGAAATCAGAGAATGGTGATGGAAAATCAGAAGATGATCTGGATACTATTCCTGCTTCAGTTCTCTTGCAAGTGGTGGAACTTTTAGGTGAGTGTTCAGTATTTCTTGGGTATTTAATTACCAGTAAAATAGCTGATCAACTGTAATATTTAGAAAAAAAATATTTTGTCATTTTGATGGAAACTAGGGTTTTAAACTCCAAAATACTGTGCCTTTGCATGTTTTAATAGTGCCGAATTCTAAAATAAACTCAGTTCTAGAAAAACCATGTGAAGATTTTCCAGCTGATACGTATTAAGTGCACCTAAGTGTCTGAATCACTTCTGAAAATGAGACATAGGAGTCACTTAAGAGATTTTGAATACTTTACCCCTTATCAATGCAAGGATGTGTAGACAATAAGATTATTTAGTGATCAGGACCCTGTGAATTCTCCAAACCTGGCAGCCTATTTTTTGCCACAGAAGCTTTCATTCTGAGCTTTTTTTTTTTTTTTTTTTTTTTCCCCCCCCCTAATCTAGCACTCCTGGTTGTGAAAACAACTTTGTAAATCTGAACAAAGTGTAAACTGCTTTAATGCTGACCTCCTAAGTCTCTAGAAGGCTTACAGTTATAAATATGAATGGTATCAAATCCCATATTCATCTCATTGTATTAACTATGAAACCTTCACGATGTGAAATTCTAAATATAAGCACTCACTATTTCTCTGCTGATCATTTTAAGAGGAATACCTACGTCATGGACTTATCAAGTCTGAGTTTCAAATGTTTAATCGGTTTCGGATGGCAGAAATGCAAGGGAAAAGAAACCAGAGTCATGGGAAAAGTCACAGACATGGGGGTATTGGAGCATGACCTTCTCATTCCCTCCTTTTGCAATGGCAGCTCCTGTCTTGCAGGGTAGGACCTGCTTCCTACTCCAGGCATTGTGACCTAGGTCACAGCACCACTCAAGTTTGGGACACCACCCCATCTGCATCTAGGACCAGGTGGACTCAGCAAACCAGATGGCATTGTGACCCCATGTTGCAAAGCTCAGAGAAGGGAACCAGGCCCTGCACAGGGGCCATCACTGCAGGTTTCACAAACTTAAATTCCCAGTTACTGTGAACACTGTGACCTCCAGGTGAAAATCATAGCCTTGCCTGTAATCGCAAATGGCCTTCAACCCTTCCCCAAATGCCACAGACCTCCATTTATCCCTGTGCAGCTGCCAGTACCTCCAGCTTCCCCTTACAGCTTCTTACAATGCCGTGTATTGTGAATTGAACACCCTGGAGTGTAACAAACACTGGAAATAGAGACATCCGTTGGGTTAATGTGGATACACTCCATGCAGCATTTCAGTAAAGACAAGCCCATTGATCAGATTGTATTCTTGCATTATTTAAACACTGAATTGAGGGATGAAATATTTAGGTTTGTTTTGCCATCGGGCCCTCTAGTATCATATATTTAATGTCTCTATGGAAAGAATATCCCTGTGAGTGTGTAAATGGCCTTGCTTGATTTTTACATCCATTAAATGATATTGTTATAATTCTTATAAAGCCATCACATTGGAATAAATCTAAGTCTCTTGTATGTCCATCTGTCTTCTATCTGCAGGGAACTTCCTCTGGACAACAGACATGTCAGCTTGTGTGAAGGAACTGGTATTTCATCTCTTGGGAGAGTTACTTCGCAAAATTCACAATCTGGAACGGAAGAAGAACCCAGCAGGGCTGTCCTCTTCTATTGCACTTCAGCTAAATCCCTGTCTAGCCATGCTTATGGCACTGCAGTCCGAATTGCACAAAGTCTACAATGAAGAAACTCAAAACTGGGTATCTGGAAATGCCTGTGGTGGTTCTGGTGTGGGAGTGGCTGACCAGGGAAGATTTTCAACCTACTTTCACGCCTTGCTGGAAGGCTGCCTAGCTGTAGCAGAAGTGACTTTACCAGTCAACATGAGTGTAACAGCTAATGTCATGTCCTCCACAAGTGCCCCCAGTCTAAGTGATTCATCTTCCTCTTCTTCATCTTCTCCGGGGCAGACACCTCAGAGCCCAAGCTTGTTTCTACATCCCGAGCTGCTGACACTGACACTACAATTCTCACTATAGGAGGAAGCAAACCTGAGGATATGTTGTGGTTTCATAGAGCACTGACCTTACTTATAATCCTCAGACACCTAACGAAAAAGGATCCACAAGGTCTAGGCGTGACAAATGATGCTGTAGCAGATGCATGCCAGGCACTAGTAGGTGCCACAGCTCATAGTCGGTTACTTGTGATTTCTGGAATACCAACTCACTTAGAGGAGGGTGTTGTCAGAAGTGCAATCCGGAAGGCCTGTAACGCACACGGTGGAGTGTTCAAAGATGAAATCTACATCCCTTTGCAGGAAGAGGACCCCAAAAAAATCAAGGACAAAGCAGAAGCAGGCGAATGTAGGACTGAACTGGAAAAACCAACTGTTTCTAGTAGTGCAGATGGTCTTGATATCAGCAGCTCTAGCAGCGTCACACCTGCCATGAGCATTAGCGCATCAGCCTCGACAAGCCAGGCCTCCCTCTGCAGCTCACAGGGGATCTCTCGGACAATTAGTGATATTTCCGTAGACCAATTTCCAGCCGGCCTGGAGTTGGCCATTCCACCGGGCCTGCTAGAGCCACATGTGGTTTCCAGCCAGGAGAGTTTAGATCTTTCACTTTGCAGCACTGGAAGCCTGATCATGTAGAAACAGCGTCTGTCTCTGATGTTGGATCCATGTACACTGTCACGTCCCTGGACAGCCAGCCACTGATGTCACGGCCAATCAAGGGCTTCGCAGTAGTGGAGGTAACAGCTTTCAGGCAGTGGGGAATTCATTTGTAGCTCCCCTTTCCAGCAGCAATCAAATCAGATTTTGTCCTAAATGAATAATGTTGACTCTAGTAACTGTCTTCCCCCACACTCAAAAACCAGCCACAAAAATAATCTTGTTTTTCACTGCTCTCTAAACAATTCTGTAATGGTGGCATATGGAGCTGGAAAGGGTTGTTTCCTTTCCATGTCCATTGTGGAATACCACAATTTAAATAATTCACTTTTCTATGTTGAGTGGTGAGGGGCTGAAGTAAAGGTCCAGCAAAAATTATTAGAATTGGGTGGATATGCTTTCTTGTACTGAATTACCTTCAGCTTTGCCCCTGTGATCACAATGCAGTGACTGTCGCCTTTATCAGAACCTTTGAAATTATTCTTCTTGCTTGCAACAGTGTAAACTCATGGGTAAAGATTTAGAGCAGGCCAAGGCAAAATACCTGCATAGGCCTGAATGCGGCCCACCAAGCCACCAGATCCAGCCTGTGTACTCCCGGCCTGCTTCCGGTATGCTGCTGAAAAATGCTTCTGTTGTGGAGCTATTTGAGGGAGGAAAGGGTTCACTCACTGCTCCTCCCCCAGTGCAATCCCATTGGCCAGTTTCCACCACTGTTGTCAACAGGCAGCTTATGAAGCATCCTACACCCTCCCCTCAGGCTTGTAGCTGTTCAATAACCACATGGTCCCTGCAGCTAGTGCGGGGGCAGGGCAGGCAGGAAGTGTTGGGAGGGCTCCTGGCTGGGAGTCAAGCAGGTAAGACTCCCAGCCCAGAGCCTGCCTCTAGCACCCCAATCCTTTGCCTCCTTACCCCACATAACCCAAACCCTCTGTACCCTTCCTGACCCCATATGCCCTCCAGATTAGGAATGTAATAATGTAGTTGATTAACTGATAAGCAAAAGCTTATAGGTCAATGCTGTAGACTACATGCATTTTCCACCCCCACTCCTCCAATGGTAAATTTTTTAGCAGGTTGGCTAGCAGCCCAGCTCAGTCTTGGCTCGTGCCGGGTCCAGGACCTGCCTTTGCTGTGGCTCTGCATTTAAAGTGCATTATGAGCCAGGCGGGCAGGTAGCCTGGCTTAGTTCCGGTTTGCACCACATCCAGGAGCTCAGTCCCGTCCCTCCAGACAGGGGCTGCTGCCACCCTGCACTGCTAGAGGCGGCAGCAGAGGGCGACAAGCAGCCAGTCCACAAGGGGAGCTGGGTTTTAAACTGGTTCCCCTCGTGAACTAGCTCCCCCCTGGCATCCAGGGCTGCTGCTAGCCCCCATCCCCAGGGACTATAGAATAGTCGACTAATTGATAAGAATCCATGAGGTTACCTGACTATTCAATTAACCGATATTTGACATGCTTGGTTTGAACGGCCACCCCTTCTTACACCCCTCCCCCAGGTCAGAATCCTCTCCTGCACCCATATCCTCTCCCAAACCCTGCACCCCAATCCACTGCCTCAGGTCACAACTCAAATCCCTGCACCCCAGTCCCCTTCCCCAGATTACAACCCCTCTTGCTCCAGGTCACAACCCAAACCCCTGCACCCTAGTCCTCTAACCCAGGTCACAACTCCCTCCTTCACCGAAACTCCCTCCCAGAGCCCAGATCCTCTCCTGCACCTCAATCTGTTACTGCAAGGTCCCTCTGCACCCAGCCTCCATCCTAGACCCTGCACCTCCTCCATTAATATCATGGAAGAGTGCAGCCCTCGACCACTTTCCGAATTCCTGGAGTAGCCCCGCATCAAAAATTATTGCCCACCAGTGGTTTAGAGTCGATTCCTTTAGTAGACCATAAAAATGTACTTGAGTCCATCAATATTATGGTTTGACAACAAATGACTTTGAACTTTGTTGCTAAAACGGTTCCATGTTCTTTCAGTAACATCTGCCTCAAGTTTGTTGCACCTTCAGAAGTAGATGTGTGTTTCAGTATCCCCTGCAAAAGAAAATATCATTTACTCCAAAGGAATGTATTCAGCGTCTTAATTTTTAATTGCGCCAAAGAAATAATCTGTAGACCCTGTAGAAGGAAAATGGCAATGTAATCATGTTGAAAATACACCTAGTCTGTAACTGCTCCAGTAATGGTGCATTGCGATATTTGAGCCATCAGAGGAAGTTAGGGAACTGGAGCAATAGCTTTGCATAGCTCTAATTTCAAGAACAATTTTATGTAGCTATTTTTTAAATACTACACCATTCAGGAGAACTGCAGGTAAACCTAAAACCTCCAGGTTGCTCTACAACTAGTATTTTCTTATCTCAGGGCTTCTGAAAGATACCACAATATTTAAAAAATGAACTAGTCATTTCTTAGAGGCCCATGTAATTAACCCAAGGTGTGATGGTTTCAAAGATCCCCTTTCCTAGAGTGGTTGTAGTGCCAGGTAAATCTGCATTCTGGTATCAGAAGGTTAATGTAACAGATGTATGATGTTAAACCTCTGCAAGAAAAGAGAATGCAAGACCTAACCCATGTTAAAACAGATAGATAATTTGTTCCCCATCGGAATTCCTTGTAACTACTTTCATTATTTACACAGATAAGGTCACGAGCTAAAATAGAGAAAATCCGAGCCAGTTTATTTAACAGTAGTGATCTGATTGGTTTGTCAAGTCTGGATGGTGAAGATGAACTAATGGAAATGTCAACGGAGGAGATTTTAACTGTATCTACTGTAAATCAGAGTTTATTTGATACACAAGGGAGTCCAGTTCTAGAAGACTATTTTAATGATAAATCGATAAAAGGTGTGTATCTTTCATATTGTCAAATACCTTGTTTCTAGGTTTTATGCAGAGGCCAAATTTTTCTCACTTATGCTGTTGTAAATCCAGAATAAATCACTGATGTGGAAAAATGATAGTTGTCTAAATTACTTGCCAGTAGATTGGGGGTAGGAGAAGGGTGGTGATCTTTGGCAACATGAGTGTTCAGTGATCCCTAAAGCTGATCCGATAGTCATTAATAGTTTTTTATTTACTGACTTTTTCAGTAGTCAGCAGAAAAAAGAATTATGAACTTAATCCATTTATAAATATTATTAGACCAAACTATTCCTTGATTTGAACTAAGTTACTCTGGATTTGCCCAGCATGACTGAGCAGAATTTGACTCTGAGTTCTTCGACTTACATCAGTCATAGTTAATTTTACTCTAACGAAGTGATCAAAACCTCTTGAAACAAATCATAGAATGCAATATAAAATTGCTTTTTTATTTGAATGGGGCCTAAATTCTTCATTAGACCAAACTATTCCTTGATTTGAACTAAGTTACTCTGGATTTGCCCAGCATGACTGAGCAGAATTTGACTCTGAGTTCTTCGACTTACATCAGTCATAGTTAATTTTACTCTAACGAAGTGATCAAAACCTCTTGAAACAAATCATAGAATGCAATATAAAATTGCTTTTTTATTTGAATGGGGCCTAAATTCTTCTGAGGGAGGGGAAAAAAAGTAATTGGTGCGGGGGTGGGGGAGGGA